ATGAGACCATTATAGTAATTAATTAAAGTAATGATAAATTACAATCTGTTATTTTATATCACCCAGTATCATAATCATAAATTAAGTAACATCTTTCACTGATGTTCATCCTCAACTTGCAAAGGCACACTAAGAAAACATTCAAACTACCTCGATCAAAGAAGGAAATTTACAAAGTCTTTGTATAAAATCTACAGCTATAACACAATGTTACTTTGACGAAAAAGAGAACAACACAGCCAGATGACAGTCAATGTGTCAGCAAACTTAGATAAATAGCCTCCATATCAGGCCATACGTTTAGTGACGATAATCAATTATGGGGCTGACTGCAGTACATCGACGGCAAGACCTCCTCCAAAGTCCGCCTGATAAACTTGAAAGCGCGATATAGAAATCCTCATTCGAAAGAGTTTGGCTAAAAACACCAACGATAATGATTTTCAATGCGAAACAGAGGCGGTTGCTTTTGTCCGCCCATCCTTAGCAGGAATGAGTGGCACCTCAGTCCGACAACTGAGCTTTGAAACTACCTTGGAAGCACAAGCGATGCTGCTCGCGTTAAGCGTGTCTAGGCGTTTAAGCGCTCCTGTTGAGGCCGTTCAATTTTCCGTTGACGCCGTTGACACCGTTGGATCGGTTGACGAGCACCGGCGTCCTCGGCACGGGGGTGGAGATGACTCCGGCCTTGACCGTCACCTTGCTGGGCTGTTCTGCAGCCCGCTGTGTCCTTGGCGTCGCTGCCGGATCGGCGGCCACGGTGGAGGTCGGCGACGGCGCGAGCTCGCCGGTCACCGCGGGCTTGCCGTTTGCCTTGCCGTTGGCCTTGCCATTGGGTTTTCCGTTGGCATCACCGTTGGCCTTGCCGTTGGACTTGCCGTTGGGCACTGTCGCCTTACCGTTGCCTGTCCTCCGGGGTGGCTCCGGTGTCTTTTCAGAGTCAGCGGCGCCCTTGGCACGCGGGAGCGTTCCTTCTTCATCGGCGCCCGGTGGCTGCAGCCTGGTGGTCTCGTCCTCCTCCTCCCGGATCAGCTCCAGAGACACGAGCGACGCCCTGCGTCCGTGTTCAGGATGATCCGCGTTCTCGGGGTGCGTTCCTCCAGGTCCCAGGAGCGGGTTCATCATGTCCTTCATTTCCGTGCCCTCCGGGTGGCTGTGGTTCCGGGCGTCGCCGTTCTCCCTCCGGATGCGCGCGGGCTTGCCTCCGCTCCCGTTGTCGGCCTGCTTGGCCTTGCTGCGGAGCAGGGCGTACAGCACAAGCACCACCATGGCGAGCACGATGCAGCCCAGGATCACATACGTGATGGTGGACTTCTGCAGCTCCGATTCCGGGTCTTCGGCTTCCCCCCCGCCCGGAGTGACGCGCTGTACGGCCAGTTCCTCGTTGCGCTTAGCGTCGTCGGGGGCGGCCGCCGCTACGGTTTCGGCGTCCGTGTCCGGCGTGGCACTGTCGACGGTATCCACGGGGGCCTCTGGTGCAGGTACGGGGATCGACTCCACCTCCGAGACAGACTTTGGTGCGTCGACAGTCTCTACCACAGGTTCGCGTTCACCCTCTGGCACGACGGGAGGCGCGGCCGCGGTTGGGACCTCCGCCGCGGGTTCTTCCGGCACCACTGCGATAGCTCCATCGTTTTCCTGGCCGACACCAACAATGTTCTTGGCCACCTCGGGGACTATCTCCTCCTCAACGGCTGGTTGGGGTAGGACCGTGGTGACCTCGGTGGGCAGCGCAGGAACCACGGGGACCACGATGGCAGAATCAGCCCCAGCCTCGCCTTCAGGTTTGGCGTCTTCTGGCGGCGAAGTGGCGGCCTCCGGTTCCGTCACGGGAACAATCACGCCTGCCCCTTGATGTTCGTCGTCGTGTTTGTCTTCCGAGTGCTCGCCATGCTCTCCTTCGTGGTGCTCACCGTGCTCGGTCTCCGCCTGGCCCTCCCCGTCCAGAGCCCGTCCGTGAGCGGAGCGGTCGCCGTCCTCGGATCCGACGGGAACCAAAAGCATCACGTCCGAGGCGACTGTGGTGGTGGCCTCGGGGGTCTCAGTGACGAGCTCCGCGTCCACCAAGTGCCCCTCCCCACCCTGTTCGTGTTCGCCTTGGTGCTGATCTTGGCCCTCGACCTGCGCCGTGGTGGTCTCAAGGGGTGGTTGGGTGGTGACCTCGTCGACGAGCGGTGCTCCGGGAAGGAGTTCCCCGGTCGGCTCGGCGCCGTGTTCCGCCTCCACTGCGGAGGTCTCCTTCTCCTGCTCCTCGAGTGCAACGTCCACGGGTACAGCTGCCACCGGGACCTCGGTGGGCACGGCTTCAGCTTCGGTAACATGTTCGGTGTCGGGTGCTGTCGTCGGCTCATCGGTTGCCGGGATGGCCGTGGGCGCGACCGTGGCATGCTCCGCCTCCATCTCGGTCTCCTTCTCCTGCCCCGTGGCCTCGGGCATGGATTTGCCCATGGCGATCGTGTCTGCGTTCCTCATGAACACCTCGGCGTCCTTTTCGGTGATGTTCTCCTCCGAGTTGGCCTGCTCGTCTTCCTCGCCGTCCTCCATGCCGTACCCTTCCCCGTCGTCCCCGTCGCTCCCCATGTCCTCCCCAGCCTTCACCTCCTCCGCGGAGGCCTCCTCCGTCTCCGCGGGCTCCCTGATCTCCGCGGGCTCCTCGCTCTTGGCAGGCTCCGCGTGCTCTTCGTGCTCTTCGTGCTCGTCGTGCTCTGCTGGCACGGCCACGGTGGTGGGCTCGGTCTCGTCGTGGCCCGGGCGCGCGGTGGTCTGGTCGTACGGCTGGTCGGCCTGGTCGGCCTGGAAGTAGTTGATGTCGTTGTGGCTGAGGACGCGCGGCGGGTGCATGGCCGCGTCCAGGGTGTGCACCTTGAGCTTCATGGGCATGGCGGACGACTGGATGCCGTTGCCGTTGTCGTGCGTGTACTGCTCGTAGGAGGCGGGCGCTCGCTCCAGGGAGTCTAGGTCTTCCAGCGAATCCAGGAACGGGTCGTCGTCGAACGCTGTCCCTAGCCCGTTATTGGTGGACGCGGCGGCCGGAGAGTCGTCGTCTTCGTCGTCGTCGTCAGAAGACTCGTCCGACGAGCTGCTGCTCTCCGACGTGTCCGCCGTGCTGTTGGACTGCTCGGCGCGGCACAACTCCAGGAGGTCCACCTTGGTCCAGGAAAGGCCCTTGTACTGGGGCGGCTCGGCGCACACCACTGGCCGCTCCATGACGACGACGCGCCGCGACAGCCAGCCCTGCAACGAGAGAGACAGGGTCAGATGGCACTGAAGCTGGAGTCCCTGTCTTTGGAAAATTAGATAAAATAAACTAAACGTGCGTCTTCCGTGGCCTGCGCTGCCGTTAAAGTCGAAATAAATGTTCAAGTTAAACTAAGCTATTGTAAGTGATTTTCATTCAGTCTTGTAATAGACTGTCAACAAGTCTTTACGATTTCAGTTCTTAACTTAATGAAATTTTCGAGGAAATTTCCTCGCTACTTATACACGAAAATTTTGGTTGAGTGGTGGGGTGCCGAAGCGCTGGGGCGAGTCTCACCTGCATGCCAATGAGCGAGCAGGTGCACTTGACGGGGTTGTCGCTGAGCTCGAGCTTGGTGAGGTTGCGGAGGGAGGACAGCACCGCGGTGGGCACGTCCTGCACCTGGTTGGCGCTCAGGTCGAGGTGGTGCAGGCCGCGCGGCAGGACGCCCCGCTCGACGGTGTGGAGGTTGTTGCCGTCCAGGTAGAGGCGGCGGAGCCCAGCCAGGACGTCAAGGACCCCGTCCGGGATCGAGTCCAGCTCGCAGGCCGACAGGTCGAGCTCCACCACGGTGGTGCGCGCGCTTAGCAGCGGCTGGTTCTTCTCCAGGCGCAGGGGGTTGCCGCGCAGAGACAGGGACGTCAGGTTGCGCATGCCCTCCAGCGAGCCCCGGGGCACGTCCACGATGTCGCAGTGGCTCAGGTCGAGGGAGAGCAGCGACTTGGACGTGAGCAGCGGGATGTCCTTCTCCAGCGCGATGGGGTTGCCGGCCAGAACGAGCCGCCGGAGCGCGGGCATGCGCAGGAACACCTTGTAGTTGAAACGGGCGAGCAGGTTGTTGGACAGGTCCAGCGACTGGAGGCTGTGCAGGCCGTGGAAGCCGCTCGGGATCACCTCGACGAGGCTTCGGTTCGTCACGGCCAGCTGCAGAACCTGGGGAAGACGAGCGACAAGGGTGAAGTGTTAGTCTGAAAGCCAAGTCTGTCGACGCCGAGGTCGACGCCAAAAAGAGGGATTCGCGGGCGCTCACCTTGGGGAACACCTCGAAGTGCGTGAGGTGCAGCGCTGAGGAGCGCGCGCCGCGGCCCGCGGGCGGCGGCAGGACGCGCACGTCCTGGGCGTCGCTCTGCTGGTCGGCCCACTCGGGAACGTGGCGGCAGTCGGCGCGCTTCAGCCCCTCGGACAGGAAGCAGCGGCAGGACGACGGGCACGGCTCCAGCGGCTTGGCGTCCATCACGGCGGCCAGCACGGCCAGCAGCAGCAGCGGCAGCAGCGCCCGGCGGGGCGCGCGCGTCGGCTGCATCGCGCGCCGGGTCCTGGAACAACACGAGCAGA